CCCCCCCCCCCCCCCCCCCCCATGCTATGCTACGAGTATATCGAATATAGGTAGTAAAGCTACAATTTTTGCTCGCTTGTTCAAAATTAGTCACAGAAAAATACCGGTGAGAGCAAAGCAAGGAATTTTTTGTTACAAGCCGAAGGTGTCGACGACGTGTGGACACACGAGGCGCGGGATGGACACACATGTTCGTAACATGTTCCCATCATGCGGGATCGCACATGGTCGTGTGCACCCTTGTTGACGTCGATGGGCAGTTCGAGAGCAGTCCATCTTGTTGACTTGGTTTTCACTTTGTTTTTTTCCCTGCCTCGTCCGTTCTTCACCCAACTAATACGATCCTACTCTCAGACGGCTTGTTGCGGTGGGTTAGCTGCTGGAGGGTGTTCCTGCACGAGAGCACTTGCTTCTTCGTAAATTGGCATCTTCAAAGGCTTCACCATCGGCAATGTGGTGAGACATTCATTGGTGTGACGGTGGTTTTGCACGCCCAGTTGCCCTGTTTCCCGCGCCCGGCGCGAACCTGAACGTCCTTGTTTTAGCGAAGCGCCCACGTTGAAATGACCACCAGAACTTTCATGTTTCGAACAATGGTACTCAAACATGCATGGCATGCTGACCCGGAAGTCCGTCCCTTCTCGCGAGACCCGAGGCCGAATTCGAGCTCGCTTGCATTAAGTGGTTGTCTTGTACCCAAATGCGAAGGGTCGTGTGCCGCGTTGACCTCGCCTTTCGGTGTACGATTGCATGTCCAGGAGACCAGACGAGGTCTTGCCGCAGCACAAGCGCAGAGCGGTGGCACTCTGGACAGTCCTGATAGGGAGCATCATTTTATGTGAGGGCATAGTTTTCTTTGCCCGGTTTGTTCCTTGATACTGTAATGTAACTCCTCGCCGACTGCCGTGCACACGGTGATACGGCGAGGAGTTGCCAACCCCCCGTCGGCTGCTTCGCCAAGCATGTAGGCCTACAAAATTGTGTGTCTCACAACTCAGGGTGTTAACTACATGACCGACTAGAGTATCATAAATTGCACAAAACAAGCGTGTGTAGACGAAGTTTTGCCGAAAGACATACGTTTTGCTTGTAGCGCGTGCACCCTCTCGATGGCGTTGGTACACCCGCCCCCGCCCTGCCATCGTGGCCCCGGAGCAGAAATGCTCATAACGACAGTACCACTATGAAGCGCGCGCTCCAGAGTGGCGGGAGAGGTGTCGGTTGGTTGAGGGATACTTTGTCCAGTGATAAAGCCGCCCGCAGTACTAGCACCGACCTACGACCTTACTTGCACGGGCAACTGTTTCCTCTTACCGCTGCACACCGCGCAGATTCTTCACTTATTTTGTACCAAGCCCTGAAGAAGCGCAATAATCCCAGTGTGTCCTTCGAGGTTTCGGTGAGAGAAGAATGATTGTGGGTGGGGTGTCGCTTTGCCCAGACGATGCTGTCAATATTTGGCGGCACTTCCACCACGAGCGAGGGTCGTTGGTCCATGCAATGCCAGCTTTTGATGGAAGGGTGTGTTCCAAAACAATGGATTCGAGACGGTGGGTCTGCAGAGCTAGTGATCACCAAGGCAGGCTGAACACGTCGTTTGCACACGGTAACACTGGATTCCCACAAGAGAACAGTTGTCCCACCGGAGCTGAAAACATCACGTACCACACGGCAAGCACTTCCTAGGGTCGGACGCACATGGTCCACTGACAGAAAAAAATCGGAATGAATTCACTCCGATCTTGACTTGCACTCAGCAGTTCCGTTGAAATACGCACGGAATGGATGTCGTGGGACTACTACGCTGCAACGGCTACGCGGAAACTGCTACGTGGAACCCGCCGCGCGTCAGCCCGACGTTGCAGAATGTGGGGCAATCTAGCGGGGAAACTCCTATTCATTCGCGTAGTACGAGCGCTGTCCAAATCGCTGAAAACGATTATCTTCCTCTCCTAGAGTTTGCTGGCTTTGATGCCTGCTGCCTCCCCGTGGTCAGGCGGGGAGTACGAACAGACGATCCCCGGTGTGGGAATGCTGACACCCGAGGTGAGAGAAGTCGACGTTGAGCGCACACATCGCTTTTTCGTGTTGTAGTATGTTCCCCGGGGGAATGAAGCAGATCGCGTCAAGCTGAAGAGGAGGAGCTAGCGTTGTTACGCGCATGGGCTGCCTCTTATTGATTACATGTCTGGTGTGAATATCTCTTCCTCCTGGGGGGAGGAGGCAGCTAATGTTTGGTATCTTCCCGCTGATCCGGGGGCTCGAATATCTTAACACTCGCAACATGTCACGTTGTGTGCCGAGGAGTACATGGCGTATTTGCACAGAAATGCATATCGTACACGACATCGTCCAGCTTATCATCGTGAAGACGGGCTTTCCACGTCACGGGGCGCGGGGGCGTGTGCGGGAGTTTTGAGTAGATGGACCAGTTTTTGGGTTCGCGATGCAAGGATGGCAACTAAATGTTGGGTGTGGTGCAATTTCTCAGCGCTTTCGGGCGCAGGAGGATTATGCCGGCCTCCCCTCCTGCAACCCAGGAAAAACGCCTAGTTGGTGCGGTTTCCAAAGTCTAACTGCACAGTAGTACGTCTTGCCGCCAGTGCTCGCTCAAGCCTGATCTTGGGTCCTGAGATTTCCATTGCATGTCCCTCCGTGTGGGCGTCCTGCGACCACTGAGAGGCGCATTCCTGTCTACTGCTGTAGGCTGTAGGTGCTTTCGCTAAGTCTCGCCCTGCCTTGAGCGGATTCATTGTACCTTTGCAAACGCAATTTTATGGCCTTCTCACCTGCCTCGTTCCGTGTTGTCTACAATCAATCCCCACGCAGGACGGCTGGTGCGTGGAGTTCGAGACTTCGACAATTTCCCAATTTCTCGGGCAAGAACGGAACGCGAGCTACTATCTAGACTACCTCCTCCTGGATGTGAGCATGCGAAAAACGCTTGGGGACGTAAATGCTTCGTACGGTTTACCCTTCTCATTTTTTCCATGGAGTGATTGTCGACCGTGCACCCGTTAATGAACGATGGCGGGGGGTGAAAGTCGACCATACACCTCCTAACGAAATTGCACAGGGAGCGAATGTGGAGCATGCACCGCTACAGAATGGTGCCAGGGAGTGAATATATTGACCATGTACCCCTTCCAGAAGGTGGTCAGGAGGGAATGTGAGCCATGCGCCCCCAACAGAATGTTGCCAGGGAGTGAAATCCGAATGGCGCAGAGAGTACTCTCGCTGTCGCTTAATTTACCCTGGACCGAACTGTTCATTCCTCCGGCGGCAACATTCACTCCCTTGCACTGCTTACTGAAAATACCGTTTTCCCTGCAGATGTACTGGTATCCCGGGGGCACTGAGAGCGATTCGAACACTTGCGTCGTTGAGGGGTGGGAGCCTCACAGGTGAGGTTCTCGGGCGCACACGGCGTGTCTGAGCCATCTAGACGCGAAATATATTGCGAGCCCGAGCCTCGAGCGGTCTGTCTCGAAGCCGTTATCGGCGAAGGCCTGTCCCCACCGGATTAAGGTGCTGTTTCAGTCGAGCCTTGGGTCCACGCCTACCTCCGATCTATCTCTCTTTGCCCTGATTCATATAGTCTTGATTTCACCTCGACTATGTATTTCAAGAGAGTGTGTCTGGCCTGATAAAATTGCCCTTGGTGGTTTTGGCAGGTTTGCGATATTCAGCGAACCTTGCTGCCACATGCGAATCGGGACGACTACCATCTAGCCAGGAAAGCGTGTATTGCGCGTTGCGGCGTACCTCTTCCCCACATTCTCGTTCCCGCTGCACATACACATCGTCTCACGAGCTATATTGGCAACCGTCCCTCCTACACACCCTTGTTTTTTCGCCCGACGCAGCGAATGGATGTACGTGAAGCTGAAAGATCCAGGATATCCAGAATCAGGTCTAGTATCAACCGGGATCCAAGTCCCCTACAGCTGCATCACCAACGTCTCAAGCAGCCACTCCTTCACATACGTGGTGCGTACATGGGAGCGCTGAGCGGACCATTCTTGCTTGGTGTGTCGTCGTCGTCGTCGTGTCGTCGTTGGTTATTGCTATTGTTGTTGTTCATTCGAGCGAATCTGCTGTTGAACCAGCTGGCTCGCTCGACACCACGTTTGTTTCAGGGTAGGGCACACAGCTCTCCCGAGATACTGTCACGATCTCTAGCGCGTATGAAGTCTACAGGCACCTAGTTTTGTTGTCTCCACCATGGTGCGATAGCGAGCGCAGGCGTCCCCGGCATGTTGCTGAACACGTTCGGTGCTGTGGAACCATTGCTATCGGCTGCATTGGACCGCACGATGCTGTCCTTTTTTCCTGTCCATCCGTTCCTCATTGCACTCGCTGTCTTGACTCATCGCGAAGAGGTAGCGACGAGAGCAGATTGTTATGCATATGGTTACTAGTAAATCGTAATGCCGTCCGCTAATACTCTGTGTGTCATGATACAACAGGGGATTGGGGTTACCATCGAGGAAAGGCTAGGCGAAGAACCTGTCGCTACCAACAAGGCGCTGTCGGTATCGACAGCGACCCACAGGGATAAGGTGAAACGGAAGGGCAGGTGCAATGCAGGACGGCAGTCAGAAATTGTGTTTTTCGCGCGAAGAAAGCCAGCGCCTCAAATCACTACCCAAGGCTGTGACGAGACACGCGAATGTTGCTGTGAAATCCGTGTAGCAATATCGGCCTTGTACAACGATACTGTTGTCGAATCACAGAATTTTGTTGTGATGTCCGGGAGTCCTGAACAGGTTTCACCCGCTGTTGTTATCTGCCAAACCTCCCTTGTCAGGTGAATGCGGCCATCGACAAACCTTACGCCCAGCTGTCGCTCCAGTTCCAGCAGGAGCCCAACTCACTTGAGGTTATCACTGAAAATGACCCCTTCGACCTCGCGGAGATGTTCGGCAACGTCGGCGGCTTCTGGGGTAAGACTCACAGGGTGTCGCGGATAAAACTCACATCAAGCCGCACGAAGCCAACCAATCCTCGAGACACCAATCGATAGACATGATCTTGGCCGAGCTTATTCATACCACCCCTTGCTTTCCATCACTCGAATGCGAGGCGTGATGTTTATGATGCAACTGGGAGATCTCAGAACGCCCACAACAGACCACAATACGCGTGCCTTTCGTCCCCCTTTTGCCCGCTGTGGTTTTGCGCCGTGCCCTCTCTTCAGACCTTCTCATGCTCGTATGGCCCATCTTCTTTGTGGCGGCGTCTAGACAAGACCCTCACCTCAAGCCCCGCAACTTCAAGAAGTCGGTCGCGAAGGGGCTACAAGGCCTCCGAGTAGGCGAAGTAGTGACCCCTTGGACAAGAAAAGATGGCAGCATCAATCCCGAAGACGAGGAAGTGAAGCCTCACTGGGAACGAAAGGGAAGACAGGTACGGTGTGTTGCAGCCCTGTTGGAGTGCTGGTCGGCGACGCTAGTCAGAGGAGCCTGCTCAGGGGTATATTGCCGACGTTTCCTCGCCAGCCGTGGCTCCAGTTCGTCCTGTGATCGTTCAGAGGACCCAACTATCCAGAGTGTTGGGAGCTCATTAGATAATAGGAAGGTGCAATGATGATGTAGTAGGGACTGAGTTTGGGGTGTTGTTTGTTTTATTTTAGGTATTTTTTAATTTTCAGGTTTGGGGACGCAATATATGTACTCTGACCTTTTGGCATTTTGTGGCTGGTGAGATGGCCATCACGTCATGGTACGTCTTACGCAACTCATGCACAATTCAACACCAGCACAGCGGGAAGCCCGCTTCTCGAAGTGAATTTCGCTGTGGCTCTGGTCGGCGGCTATTAAAGTAGGTTCGACACCTTGCTGGGCTGTGGTGCAATGATTTTCGGACGTGTAGGAAGTATGCATAGTGCGTTTCGATTTCTACCTTAGGTGACACAAGGTATCTCACGCCCTGGACCGGATTTTCAAAGTACGATAGCTCCACAGCAGCAGACCGAGTGGCGGGTCCCGAAAAGGGTGGCGTTGGAACCGCCTCGTCGAGAGTTTTCCAAGATCGTGTAGTGTGATGTAGATATCCTCTTCGTGGTGGGGTGATCGAGCCTTGAAAATCGGTCCAGGGGGTGAAATATGTTTCGTCGCCGATGGTATGCACCGTGTTGTTTTTATCACTAAAAAGGATTACACTCAAAGGCCCTACTTCGCACCTGTAACCTATGCGTTGTCACCCGAACTGTTTTTCAGGACGTCGTGGAGTTGGACCATCCCACTTCCAAAAAGTCGGTCCACCGCGCGCCCGTGTGAGCTGCACTAGTGGAGGCCGGAAATAAAGCCAGGCGGCACCACCAGAATGGGAGGGAAGCAGCATATGTGGTCCTGCGCCTTCGGCCCGAGCAACCACCACAACCGAAAATTGAACCTCATCCACCACACGGCTGTGGCGAAATGAAATTGACGTTCCACAAGCAGTGATTACCCTAGATGATGTGTCCAAACACTGGATTGTGGCTGTACTTATATTGCGTTTGTTTTCCGTTTGTAGAAGGTGTAGGAACAGAAATATTACCCGCGAGACCCACCATAACAAGGCTCGTCGAATGCTTCGGTCATAGCACACGTTCGACTCCGTTTGACTTTGTAAATAGTATCCCTCTCAGTGCCGTCCCCATTTTTGTCACCATTGAAAAGTTTTATCCACTGCTGTGAGGTAGTGTTGTTTCTTCCCTGTTTCTTGTGCATCGTGCCGTGTCGTCTGTGTTGAATGGGGTGGCGGTCTCTGTGTCGCATTGAAATTTTTGGCTTGTGTCGTGTTGCAGCGCGGTTTTGCCGCGAGTGCATTGCCTGATTTTTGTGTTTGCTCCGACGATGGACAATAATTGGTGTGTTTTTTTGCTCGGCGAGCGGCCCTTGAAACAGTTTATCCTTCTTCCCTTTCGAGACAACCCCGAATTTTCTGACAAAAAGTAGATGCATTCGTGCGCAGACCTTACATGCCTCGCGTGATGCTGCCACTGCTGTTGTTGTAACAACCCCCCCGCTTACTCCTCTCCCTCTGCGTGAGGTACGTGGTCATGTCCCCACTATGTGGGGGGCGGATTTCGGTGCTCCTGCGGCGATTCAATCTTGCGCGCGAGAAGCTAAATCGTTGGCATGGAGCGAGCCGTTCAGGCGACAGACAGGCCGGGAGAGTCTGTGGTCGCCACGAAAAGGCTCGCACCCCCCCTTGCGTTCATCGTCCTCCTCTGTGACCCCTGCTTTGCGTAACAAAAGTAACACTCCGACTGGTGTACAGTTAGGCTACCTTAACTGACCAGACGGCACGAAAAAGCGTATTCGTCTCGCAAGTACGTTCCATCCCATCCATGCGGTCAACCCCGTGCGGAACTTGACTTTTCCCGTGCCGTTCCTTCGAACCATAAAAAAGGACCCATCCATGTCGTCTCAGCGACGGCTAAGCACCAACCGCGAGAGTGCGTTCATTCACTTCGATGGTTTTTAGAATTCCCCCAGCCTCTTCATCCTTTCACGCGGGGAAGTAGAAAGAGGGCACGACCCGTCGCGATCTGTTATCGCTGCTTGTCGAATCTACGGCGGTTGTCCCTCCCTGCGTTTCGTGGCAAAACAACCCCGACATTTTTTGCCCATGGTTGGTGCGATCGGGTGGCGATCGATGTTGCCCGCTCCGTCGTCGTATGCATTGATATCCGATTATGTTTCCCGGATCCCCCCCCCAGCCAAAAGGGAGTCGTTCTTCTCCCAGCCCTGTTCGTTCCAGGCTCAGCTCAATGCATCTAGCATTCCAGGCTCGCCTGCTGGTCGTGCTTCGTCAAAGCCCGCACGAGAATGGTAGTGTCGCATTTTCTGTAGACTTGACTGAACCGGAGAATCCTGCTCGAAGTCTGTGAAAACCAGACCGTCGCCGTGGAAGAGCCATGACGAGAGGGTTCGTTATCCGTGTACTGAGTCTAGGTGATGGTGCGGAGAGTTTAAAGGCTTGTGATTTAGCTGGCCGGAGTTTGATCATCAACTGAACTCTGTTGTGCACCCCGAGGGGGCTATTTTTTAAGAGATTGGGTACGCATCAGTACAAACTGCTGTAGACTACCCATCCATGTGCGTATGTGCATAGATAGACTAGATTAGTCTACCCATGGAAGAAGTCCAACTTATTGTGTACCTCTTAACCCTTTTGGGTCTAGGCTAGTCGCCGGCCGAAAGCGTGGTCCGTCATCCCCATGTTCCGTTTCGATTCATATTTCTTTCTTCTGAAACCCAAAAAAAAATAAGAGGGGTGAGAGCGAAACGGAGAGAGCGAGAAGTACAGCAAAACAGCCCGCTNGAAAGCGTGGTCCGTCATCCCCATGTTCCGTTTCGATTCATATTTCTTTCTTCTGAAACCCAAAAAAAAATAAGAGGGGTGAGAGCGAAACGGAGAGAGCGAGAAGTACAGCAAAACAGCCCGCTGTACTTCTCCACACGCAACAGCTATCT